GGGACCCGCTGCCGCCCCGTTTATAAGAATCTCGCCGAGCAGATGCAGCCGCCACAGCACCCCGAGTGCAGAGCGGACATTGCTACGTGACCCATTCCCCACCGCAGTGGGGACGTGTCCAAGGAGCAGATATAGCTCCTGTCCAAACCCTGCAGGAGCAGGGCTGAGGCCAGGCTCTCTCATTTCACTTTTACATCCCCCTGGTACATGCTCCTGAGCAGGTGAAAAATACACCCTCGCTCTGCATTCAGCCCCGCAGAGACCTGCTGCAGGTGATTTTCTATCTCCAGGCTCACTCATGGGCCTTCTTGCCCCAAAAGGTGCTGGGGAAAAAGCCCAGCGAATGCCTGGGGCGGCAGGCTGCTGGCGATCGCCGTCCCCGTCCGCTCGTGTCTTTCCGGGGGCACATCCCCGAGCTGAGGAGGCCCAGGAAAGCGCCTGCAGAGCCGCCGAGGGCGAGAGGGGAGGCTGCTGCCAAGCAGATGGGCAGCCGCAAAGTTTGTAGGTAACTTTGTGAACAGACAGTTTCCATCTCCCAGCACGATCCCAGCCTGGCGCCGGGTTCTGCTTCCACATTGCTCTCAAAGAGAGCAGCTGTCAGAGCTGGCATTTCAGTCAAGAATATTTCCTTTTGCCATCTGTTCCTGCTATTACAGCAGGGCTTCAGAAGAAGGCAACTAGGTCGGACTGGAGTAAATCACTTTTTTTAACCTAGCCTCTTGCAGCTCCATCCAGTCTTTGCTCTATCAATCAGCGAGGCTCACTTCGCAACAAGCGTGTTCATCCCCTAGAGCTCATTAAAATGAGCTTAGCGCAGCAGCAGAGATGAGACGCCAGTGATGCTGCTTAATGAACAAACATCTTAATTACTGGGAGTTTTTACCTCCCGACAGAGCAGAGAAGCAGCCTGGATGGAGTCGGCATGCTAACGAGCCAGCACGAGGGGATGAGGCGAGGGAAGGGCGAAAAGCACGCTCAGGTGCACGCCCTGACTTGGCCGTAGCTGCTGCTTTGCACCAGGGCTGCAGAGCATCGCGCCCCCGTGACGGCCGGCATCGGCTCGCCGCAGCCAG